AGAGGCTTTAATTTTAAGGGTATGTTCCCCGCTCATGTGCGGCTAAAAAATTTTAAAGTTAACTCTTCTAGCGTGGCCTTTTTTTGCGGATCAGCAACTTTCCATTTGTCGGGTCACTGAAGTTGACACCTACAACTGACATACCACATAGTTGCACAATTAACTTCCCGAACTTCGAGGGCCAGTATTTAGGTTAGCTACTTTGATTCCTTGCGATCTTGCTACAGCACGAAAAGCGCAAAAACGCATAATCGCACCGCCTACGACTGACATACCACATAGCTGCACAATTTACTTCCGAACTTCGAGGGCCAGTATTTCACAGGGTTAGCAACTAACATACCACATAGTTGCACAATTAACTTCCCGAACTTCGAGGGCCAGTATTTCACAGGGTTAGCTCACGTTGCACAATTAACTTCCCGAACTTCGAGGGCCAGTATTTCACAGGGTTAGCTACTTTGATTCCTTGCGATCTTGCTAGGCACGAAAAAGTGCAAAAACGCATAATCGCACCGGCCGGTGTGGTGCGTTCCAGCCTGGGTTTACTATCACATCATAGGGTTAGCTACATTGACTCCTTGCGATCTTGCTACGGTACGAAAAGTGCAAAAACGCATAATCGCAGCACAGGGTTAGCTAATTTGATTCCTTGCGATCTTGCTACGGCACGAAAAGTGCAAAAACGCATAATCGCACCGGCCCGCCTCTACACTGACTCCTTGCGATCTTGCTATGGTACGAAAAGTGCAAAAACGCATAATCGCACCGGCCCGCCTGGCGTTCCAGCCTGGGTTTATGCGTTTTTGCCGTGCAGCGTTAGAGCGCTGCAACAGGCAGCAAAAACGCATATTGGAACGACCACGTAATATAGCCCGGTCGCTCATGTAAGGTACGGACAGCATGGGGCGAGGCTATCGCATCGTATCGCACGATAACAACCATCTCATCGTGCGATGAACAGTTATTTCATCGGACCCTCTACTGCCGATGAGTGGTAGCAGAGTGCGATTTCTGGGCGGGAGGGGTGGGAGGGTTGATTCCATTTCATTTCTCGTGTTGACTTTTGGACTTCGGTGGAGGGGGGAGATAGAGAGAGAGAAGAAAGGAAGAGAGATTGTTGCTGGTTTATTTTGTGGTTGGGTGAAGTCTTTTCCAAGAGTCCTTTTTTTTAAATCTCTTTTGAGTCCTTTTATAATCTTTTTTAAGCCTTGTTTTTTATCTCTTCCTTCCTCTCCCCATTCTCACCCTCCAATTCCACAGTCACCGCCCTTCTCTCTCTTTCCTTGTGTCTTTATCTCTTCCACTTTTCTGTTCCTTCTCGATTAAATACTGCGACTGTCATGCTGACGAGGTCCAGTCACAGTGTATTAAAACGTATGTGACTTAATGAATCGAAACTTCTTGTCTCATTCTTGCCTCCTTTTCTCATTCTTTCTTGCTTCCTGTATTCAGTACGCTTTCGAAGCTTTGGCCTTCAAGGTCAGTCTGGATGTTACAATCGGCTTACTAAGCGACACTGAATTTGAACTGGCAAATTTTATGGACATAGTTATTACAGTACTCCTGTAATCACAGCAGCGAGTTCCAGGCTTATATTGCGAATCTAAAACGTGAAATCATTCTGTTGTGTCCGAATAATAAAGTTTTTAACAGTGAGCATGTTCGAATTTCAGCGCGGCAAGATATCCAAACATCCTGTGATCATCCTCAACTTCCTTAAAGTGTCGCCTAAGCAGCATGCACCTTGCTGACATTTTTTTGAGTTGCATATACTATTCAACACACGCTAAATTTGTTGAAACCAGCCGTTTTATGGTATCTCAGCTCGGCAGAGCAGATAATCCTGAACTGACCAACTTGTATGAGTGGAGTCTAGTAATTTGGGAGACAGCTGAACATTTAGCCATTGGATGTCCTAGAAATTCCAGGTTATTTGGCCGGATACATCAACAGAAACCATGTGGTGAAATGTTAGAATGC